AATTGCTAGGTTGCTATTGATCACAACTGAGTCATAAGCAAAGATAAAAATCATAAATAGCTTTTAAAACATCAATTTAGGTTTTCAAATTTAGAATATCGTGGTAATTTAAAATTGTCCACTACGATAATAAAAACTGATTCTCAAATAACTTCACTTTAACAACAAACGTTAAGCCGTAACTGGCACGTGATTAACTGGTTTAATAACTGAATTACTTAAATATACATTTCGGAGGAATGCACCAGGTTGCGATACTTGCGATCGTACTCACCCGCGTGCATATTAAATCGAGTACTGGTTTGCGAATTCAGTCCAAATCTCTCGATGGAAGGCAATAAATGATAATATTTTGTAGTTTATTATTGGCAATAACAATTTTACAAGTTCTCTTGACCCTCGGGGGCGTGGCGTTCATTCAATGACTAGTGGTATTATATCGCAATAACCTATTAGGTTACGATAGATGTACTCTATCGCCAGTTTTGGCTACTAGGCACACAATTGACATAGACTAGACAGAATAGCTTCCTGATAATCCTGAATTTTTTTAACCGTGATCTGTAAATCGTTTGTTACACGTAGAGGCACATCCATGAAAAGGAAATTTTAAGGAATTAAAAATCCAAAACCGGTTGAGATAAAGTAAAAAAATTGACACGTGGTTTTTGAATAAGATAAAACGAATTTAAGTTTAGAAGAGGTCGCTTCGTTACTGTTCATTTGATGAGACACGGTATTAAAACTACTGCTATGTTATGCTTACATTTTCGAAGCGCCGCCATAAGCCAATAAAACAAAAGACGGACTATAAATTAAAATTTAGGTATCATTCCTATTCGAGATAGATGCAATCTAACGACCACTTTCGATAAATATATCTGTCCTTCGGTAATTTAACATACCTACGTATGAATCAATAAAACAATGAATGAAACAATGAAACAATGAATTTATTTTTGCAAATAGGCCATAAAACGGCACTTTTACACGTCAAATTATATGTGAAAAACTAGATGAAGCCGTATAACGTTAGTTACCGTGCAAAATTGTATCTCTATTATAACCTACTGAAATTGTTCGTAACTGGCTAAAGGTTAACAGATTGGTACACAGTTATCTAGTTTACTACATACCGAAGGGTCGAAGGACGAAGGAAAGTTAGTCCTTCCCGTGGGATGAATTAAGCGTCTTGAGTATAGTTTTATTATAGTTTCTGACAGCCACGTAATTATATTGCTTGTATCCACTAGCCACTAATAGTAAGTATATTATAACTATAAACTTTTCTCGCACAGGTTAAGCAGATGAATTTTCAAATTATAGTTTTATATAAATCTATATCTTTCAAATGAGCTCAGATTACCCCGGGATTCTGATTTAAATATTTGCCATAAATAATTGAAATTACCAATTCAACAAAGCAATAAACGAATGCAGTTGTTTATTGTCATTAATCAAGTATGAACATTATTCATATTGCATTGAATGTGTGCGTATGCATATAAAATTCTTCGCAGCTTGGTTCTCGTCCGTTTGAGTAACATCTTATCATCACCGCATAAGTTTTGTTCGTGTTTTTAATGTGTTTAGAATAACCATTATTTGCATTGAACCGACCTTTGTTTTCTAAGAAACAAGGGTCCATAGAGAGCTATGTATGCATGTATACATACTGAACCCAGGCAGAGAAATACTTTCATAATATAGAGTAAATATTCAGCAAGAACGATGATTGTAAATTGTTGTACAAGTAACTAAAACTAGCCGGCTCGACTGTTCGAACTCCGTGCCACCGAACATTCAATATGCTTAACTTCCATAGAAGTTGTACAGGAAAATGTTTCTTCATCATCTTTTCATATCTTCCGAAGTTTGAATAGTTATGCTGCCGAATTGATGAAATGCATGAGGAATCGATGTTATAGAAATTATTCGTTAAGAGTCAACTTCAAGAGTGGTGCCACGGATGACGGAACGGTGTTATAACAAATACGCGGAACAATCCGACCGGTTTCGTGTGTTTAATTACATTATTAAAGTACTATTACACTATTTAACTTATAACCAGTTACAGAATTTTGAAATTTATTAAATAAAAATTTAAGCATGTGAAATTCATTGTTAGTTATTTTGTTTACATAAAATTAGCGTAGATATAGTCCCTGGCACAAATCATAGCCAGTTTTTAAATAGAAAATCGTGATTGTGATTTCTCATTATTATCTTTATTTCACGTTATTATCGCAACCATTTAGTATTTAGTTAAAGTAAGAATACGAAAATTATAATGTATTGAAAATTTAATTTAGAAATAATGTGAAACCGCTCACGTGTGTTACAACGCTCAAACTTTTTATGAAAACTGTGGTCATAGTTCGTGCCGGGTTATTCTAGTGTCAGTCTGTATTTTACTATTTAATATTTTTTTGTGTTTTTTGAACAAAAGGAATGACTGACCTTGCTAGTTGCTAACAGAGCTTTGTATTAAAAGTTTAATTAAAATATGATTAGTTTGTTTCGTCATACATGTCTTTAATTATCAATATTTCTAAATTAGTTTAAACAAGTGTAAGTTACCTATTGTTATAATTTTTTGAGTTATTACAACGTGTCACAACATTGATAAAGGCATGTCACTTAATTAGAAGTTTTTAACAAAATTTGTGATTTTTTTATTTTGTATAATTAGTATATTTTTTATTATCATTAACAAGAATCATTGGGTAATTAAGACAAAAAAATACGGAACATAATATATGTCAGTTAATTGGATTATAAAATCAAAGTTTAAATAACTTTTTTTTGAAAGAAATATAATTAATAGGATTTGTTTTCATATTTTCGTTAAAATATTAAATATTAAATAGGTAACAGGAAGAATGGCCATTCATTATTTTAATTAACTTTCTTTATTTGTTTTATTTAATTTATCTTTGTTGTCAAATGAATAATGATTTGCGATATTTTAGTATTATTTATTAATTTTCAAAACAAGGAGTTTTTAATGTCTATTAATAAAAAAGGCGATAACGTTTCTTCCCCAATTATTTGGATGTTAAGTAAAAGTGGCCCTTTAGGAATAGTTATTTTGATCTTACAAATATAAACTGGAAGATATCAAGTGAATTGAGCTCATTGCATATTTGATGTGGTTGTGAAAGTAACTGTTTTTACTTCAACACGGCTCCGATGCACTCCATGCGCTTACAAACGACATTTAATTTACTCAAGTACTATCAATTTTGTATTTTATTGATGCGTGTGAGTCACATACCTAAATAAATATTTTAATTAAGGTCACTTTCATAAAAAACCGCAGATAAATAAGGACAACAGTAAATAATAAGGGTATTTTTTTAGGTATGTATTTGCAAAGTCATTGAATTTGGTAGCGATGAAAATGGTGCCTTTTCAGTTGAAATCATCTTTTATAAGTAAATTACAACGGGATAGTTCTGTTAATTAAAGGTAAAATAATTTGAAATTGACAATGTTAAAAATGTACACAGCGGTAAAATGCGTAAATATTAAAAAAATGGAAAATAGTTTAGGTTTTAAAATAAACAGGTCGTTCGATCCTATCATCATAAGGATGTTCACTGATGAACAAAGGCCTTCATCGTAGGATGAGACGACTTACCTAATAAGCAGTTATTTTTGGGACCGATAATTTTTAATTGTTTAAGTACAAAATACTTTAATATAAATAACATAATTGATGTCCTGAACATTAAATAAGTATATAAAATTGTCTGAAATTTAAATTTTGATTTTCTATTGACTTATTATCATAGTTCTATCTCTATTTTCAATTTCTTTAAATTTAGAATCCTCGAATTATTTCTATTTGAGTTTCTGTAGTACAACAAAGAGGGCAATATTAAAGTTTCCAGTTTTGTATGAGCGTCGCAGTCGCAGGTGTTAATTCGCAACTGCATCGGTCGATCCTACTCGCGTTTGTATAAACTTTGAACGACGAAGAATGAACAGTCAAACAATGATACAAATGTATGCAAGGGCACAAAACAATTCTGTTTAGGTATTTTATCACGATTATTATTTTATTTTTCGCAATATTACCTAGTGTTCAATTCAAGGTTTGAAACTTTATTATTTCTATAGTAATAATAATAAACAACTAATCAAATATATAATTTTCGTATTTTTATGATCTTTGGTTAATAGATGTCAACTTTTATCGAAGTCAAAGTTTTTAGTTGCCTCTAAATTTTTAAGCAAATGTTTACTATATAATTACTGTAGTGTAGGAAAAAAATTAAATGACTATGTAAAATAATTAGAAGCGGCCTGAGAAACAACATTGCATTTTCTATTTTTTTTATGAACTTACTTATTACTTGTTTTTACCAAATGATTATAAGAACGTAATCAGCAGCATATAATATACTCGTGCGTACAAAAATAATAGAAGACAGAATCCTTTATAATTAATATTTTAATTTTACAAGATATTTACGATTAATACCTGCGTAGTTGCGTTTTAATTCAAAATTATTTAGAACTTAAAACAAGCGAAAACATTAAAACAAGGAAAACAAAAAATAATATTATTTTCTACCAAAAGGTAATTTCAGTGTGAATGTACTGTTAAATTATTAGGAACCAATTTAGGCAGGACAGATAAGCTGGTACACGGTGACATTTAAATAAATTATGTGACAGGAATGATAACATTTTTAATCCAATATATACTATTTGTACGACTTTAAATAAATTACATTGTATCCAAGTATAATATTAAAGTAATTCTGTGTGTACCGGCTTACGGCCATGGACGCACAGATTTTATTAACATGTCTGTCAAAAGACCAAGGAGATTTTACACGCTGGCGTGTTGTTATTTTGCGGTTTTCGTTTTATTCTGCCTCTACCTTTTTTATTTAAGAAAGATTAAAATAATGCTTAAAGTACAATTGTAAAATTAAACGCCATTTATTTTATGACTATATCAATATTTTAAATTTATATGTACTTACTTTTCCAGCCGATCGCCAAGTTTGTCGGAGAGGTGGCTCTCTTTGGGTTTGGTAAGGTCCGAATCGTAGAGGTCCCGCTTGTAGCCCCTCCAGAAAGTGGGCATCATCCAGACGAACCATGTCTTTGAAAACCAATTAGCTCTCATGTAGTTATTGGTCTTCTTCTCACGGTTCTTTGGTGGCACTTTTTTAAGATCACTCGGATCTTTATTGCCGCTAACCATTTTGGCTTAAGTTTAATAATATTTTAAAATAACAACAAAAAGTTTATAAATGTTCGTGTTTATAATTTGAACACGCAACGTTAGTTCGGTGCGAAAATCGTCATTTTTGTCGATGCAGTAATAGTTCGCGGTCGTAGCACGTTAGCCGGCAACTAGGCGAAACGCCTGATTAGCAACGACACGAAGCGAGCGCAAGCTGCCTCCTACTGAGTTGCGCGCGCGCAGCTCGAGCGTATTAATACCTACTTAAAAGCGCTACGAATTCTCGGCGCCAGCTAGTTTGCCCCGTCACGTGAAGCTTTTAATACGAGTATGAGCGTAATGCGCAGGTACCTAATCAAGTTCCGGAAAATTGATTTCATTCCACATATAATACATTTCGCAGAACGAGACACACATGCACGTTTTCGCTGAAGGTTTATTAAACATTCATGATTAGCAATAAATCTCTTCATTAAAATTGATTATTGTTTTATGACATATGTGGGTAGATTCTTCCATAAATAAATGCCAATATGAGTATTTCAGCAATTTTCATTATAGTTATAATGAATTCTTTTCACTACAGTTTTGTAAAAAATATAGGGAACGAATTTCATTTCCTGATCTGATTTTAATTTTAGTTTTTTTACGAACAGTAAACTGAAGTGGAGCATTATCTAACAATTATTCAGTCATACAGTAACGAAAGAAAAACACATTACATACTTATTATCAGACATTAAATAGAGGTTGTTTTTTTCTAAATTGTCATCTTGCTGGTCCTATCTCGGTCCCTGAGGACGCAGCGTCGGTACAAACAGCCTCAAACAGGATTTGCAGATGGAACGGTTGGCAATACTTCGGCGAGCTGAGATGTTTCCCCAAGAGTTATTTTATAGGAACGCAGATAAAAATAAGAATTTGAATATAAAGTAAGTTTAGGTATTAAAGTTATTGGAAAAAAATTTAGAAACATCTAATGACTTTAATATGATACTTATAGATCAGTTTAGTTTGATTAATGTATACAACTGCCGTTTCAGATGCAATTGAACCTAGTAGTATGCTAGCGAACTTCTCGGCAGTGAACTTAGTGGTCTAGTTAATCCGGTTTATATGTAGCTATCGCCTTCGTTGTGTTTCATTTCACGACTCGATGATAAACTCGTACAAAACTTGACAAACCTGTGTCTGTACTTGCCCTACCAGTTGAAAGTTCACTGTTTCTTATTTCTCAAGCAAGACTCTAGGGGTAAAAAATCCCTTCAGCGCCGGTATGCAGTCAATCAAGGTGAATCGCAAAAATAGATTTAATTTACGATCCTACTTGTGTGCTTGGGATTTTATTTTTACGACTGTGAGAACGGAAGCCTTGTATTATCACTTGATTATATGTAATGTGGTGATAATGTATCGTAGCGGCAACTTAATATCGATCTTATACTTCTTATGGGCTTCGACATTTTTTAACTACGTTTTTTATACATTTGTGGTTTTGTTTCTGGAATGTATCTCAACGGTAAACAAACTTTTTAGCAGTCATTGAAAAGTTTTAAGGTAATGTTTTGTTTACCTATGTTTAGTTTATCCTTATGTCATTAAAAAGAGTTTAGGTAGCGATAAAGATAGAGATTTTTCCAATTGAGTAGTTTCCTCGGTTATAAAAAAATATTCGACGTTTCAATACAATAAAATATTGAAAATAAACTATACTATACTTTCATTCATCGATCGATTGATACTCTGAATTTTAGATATTTTTTAGCTAATTTTTAAGAAATGAGTAAGCTATTTGACTTAAAAATACTATGACGTCATAACTCAGTATTTCAAACAAATTTAATAGAAATGTATCGTTTTTGACATTTGGAAAAAAGTATTGAATTTGATTAGTTGGAAACTGCCGTATTCTGGTCTTTCGTACTATGTACTGAGAGAAAAATACCGTCTAATGACGCTGAGGCTTATAACCTCACATTAACTATAAACCTTATGTGTATGTAAAAGAAATTTTGATGACTTTCAAACGTTCTTCAAGATGACACAACATTGCGTTTCTGTTATCCCTATAGAGTGTTTATTTTAGCAGAACCGTGTTTGAACAGTTGCTGCTCAATACAAATACAATTCATTTTTATTTGATGCATAGAAAATGAATCTAGAAAACCTTGAGGTGTCGATTGCAAAAGGTACCACCACCATTGGGGTACCACATCGATGTCTGAGGGCACTTGTCAAGGCCCTCTAGATGATCATGTTGCGTTATTACTCGTATATTCTGTAATTGATTTGTACTTACACGCTTTTTGTTATAATAATACCAATGCTGAGACTTTTAATCACATTCTATGCAGTGTAATTTAAATCTGGCCTGTTACACCCGAAAAAAAATCTATTCCACCATTTATGTTTTTATAATACAAGATTCTTAATTTAAAAACTCCGTTATTTTATGTACCTAATATTTATTTAGTTTTCACCGCTTTTTTAGTTAATTCTGTAAGATATTTTCTTGCGAGAGCTTAATTACCTACTTACAATAAAATCTAGCTAGAGCTTTATTTTTAGGAAACTGAAAATGAAACATAACGTGGCGAGTTATTCATGATTTGGGTATAGATAGTATTATTTAATTATTATAGGTATCCTTTTTAATAATATTTCGCTATTTATGTTGAGAAGTTCGATAATAATAAAAGGCGAGTCGATGTTTATGTCTATCTTTCAATCAGTGAGTATACAGCCGTCATACAACTATTGATTTGTTTTTAATACAAAATATTTTGTTTGATATTTGAATCGAACTCACGGCCCTCGGCATCAAACCACGACGCTGTATTTATTAGATATCCTTATCTAATTATTGAAAGAGAATTCGCAATGAATTACGTTCACAAAGTATGCCAAGTGCAAGTACACTAATCTGAATAGAACGGAGGCGATGACGTTGCAATCATATATTTTTCCAGAAGGTAACACGAGAGGCGTGGTGCAACGTCACCGGCCTCCAAGCTTCTCACGTTGATCGGTAAAGTGTACGCTACGCATCGTGTAATAATGTTGTGAGACTAACAACGCTGACGCTATTGACGGAGTAGATCTGTTCCGGTGGGTATTGTGCCGTGCACTGGGGTCATCCGACCACTGACAACAATACGCCGACACAATACGTGGCTCTATTGACGCGGACGACCAGTGCCGTGGCAACCGGCACTCTCCCGCGCCACCACGCCGCTTGACACGTTCCCTGGACTCAGGCACATACTGGTGACGTATCAAAGACCTTGCGATTTTTTCTTTATTAGATCTAATTAATACCGTAATGCCTTTGATTCTTCAATAAGTGGCTTGTAATACTCTATAATACTACATGCGTGACCATAGACACAAAAATACCCATGTCATAATTAGCGTCCATTGTTGTTAAATTCCCTTTGGGGATGGGGAATAGAGACGTGATATTATGTGTATTATATATAAACAGCTAGGTACCCATAACTTTAAAACAAATAATCTTCACAGTTCGCGTCAGCAATTTTATTCCATTATGTAGTATTTATATAATTATGTTTCACTTTAAGAGCGCACACGTTTAAGATAATCTTAATCACTATTATCTCTAGCCAAGCAATGTGATTCAAGATTTAATAATTTTTGTGTACGAACATACCTATTTGAAAGTGATTGGATTGATATCAATAAACATATTACGAGAACGATAAATAATATATAAAAATAGATAAAAGCGATATATTATAAATAAGATATTCATGAGTTAAATAATGTTTTGTTTTTACTAAGGTTTTTAATGAAACGTGGTGAGTAAGTAGAGGTAAACAAGTTGGTGTTACATCGAGGCCTTCGTAATGTGTTTCGTCTGTCCGAGTGGCCGATTTTGTTTGACGCCGCGACTGCACCGTGCACACTGGTGTATTGAAACGATAAGTATGTACCTATGTACGTACATATTCATACAATCGAACTGGAAAAAACCGAGACCCAGTAATGGTACTTGTTCGTTCTCAAATAACGGATCTTCACGTTGATTAATTTTTGCCCTCGATTGTCAAGTTAATCCAATTGGTTACTCTGCTCGTTGACTGTGACACGATTGTTACAACATATGTTGAGGTATAATGGCATAAAGTTGATACGTCATAATAATCTAGTTCTATTTTACGTAACATGATACAGGTCTACCACTGAATTACCAAATGTGTTCGTATTTAAACCAAATATGTTATGATGAAGCGATGAGCTAAGTCACATAGAACTATTTTTGATAAATAAGTATTTTTAAGGAAAACTGTAACAGCCTGTGCAACAAAGCTGTTTACTACAACAAAGTAATGCTGACACTTTATTTTAAAAATACGTAATAATTAATTTGTTTGCCATTTATCATTTTAATCAAGCCGACTGCATTAAATATTAATTTATATCTATGTATATATTTAGGACAATGTACATATAGTAGTTGGCTTCCTAATGATAGAGCATACTATTCAGTATAAAGCTGCCTAGTATACCCTTCAATTAGTTACACGTTTGTGTAACAATTACACCACTGCAATAATGCCCGAACATTTACTTTAGACACTTTTTAATCTACCAACAACTACCAACTTATCAGAATATTATGATTTAATTTGATTAAAAATAATGTTTTGCCCGTTCTGATAACTGAAATCAAAAGTTTTCATTGAAAACCTTCACTTGAGAACACTTGATTCGAGGCGGTCTGATACGATACTTAGAATAATACAACACAAAAAATAATACATAAATACAAGTAGGTAGTTCCGCATTTGTCTATTAATTACAATGTACGAGTATTAAGCGCCGTATCTCGGATAATATAATTATTTATTTAAGTTTTTTTTATCTGTAATAGGAAGCCGAGTTTAATTAAACTTTGTTTTTATGTGTACCCACACATGTTAAAGTTCACTTTTTACTAAGTTTAGATATTTGATTTCTCATTTTATATTGTATTGAGCTTAGATAAACCACGCATTCGTTTGTTATAGAAACTATTTTAAAAATAATTTACATGTTAATTATTGAATTAGCAAGTAATATTAAAATGTAATTTTTATGGGATGAAGCCGCACATCTTGTCTCCGTTGTCTAGCAGGTACAAAAGCATATATCTTTACCTACACGCATCTATTTATAAAACCGGAACTATGTAAGATTTCCTCACAGTTCGTCTGATGATTTTATTAAAATAACTATAGTCTTCTTCATTCCTCCAGTGGTAGGTGGTTAGTAGTTAGTAGGGTTATTAAAATCGCATAGCGCAGTCTTGTGACTGCAGTAGTCCGCAGTCTAGTTTTTCTATTTTAGACGCGACTAGTACTGGATGCAGGTAAGTGCTGTAGATGGCATGGTGACTGGGCTAAATATAGCCTCGGTGTAGTTAATGCTGCTGTACTTGGAAGGGCAGGACCGTTAGCGGCGGGAGCCAGCGCCGGCGCCGACGGGGTGCGGTCACTCTTTCTCGTTTTATCTTCGGGCCACAGTGCATTGTGCTCGTATGCACGTAATGGTGAATCACCTTTACGATATTTTGTAACGACGAGAATTTATAATGGTAATCGCTGTATGTAACTCTGATGACAATCTGTTTTAGCTTGGAATTTTTATTATAAAACTTTATAGAGTTTGTTTCATTTTGATTATTGATTGCTGGGCTGATTTTAAGGTTCACATTTTATTTAAATTCAAATGTGATTTTTTCTGCTACTTAGTTCAAGTATAGAAGGAGAAAAATAAGAGCCAAACGAGTTGTTTATTGTTTTGAAAAGCCACCGATGTCCTAAGAGTACTTTAGAGGCACTACTTAAGATGAGAAACGTTTTTGAAACCAACTTTAATGTTTGTATATACCTATATAAGAGTACAAACATACAAGTTTTCTAATTTTATTTAAAAAAGTTTGTTTTCGAGTTATACCTGTAGGTAAAACTCTTTTCAATTCTCAGAGATATGCCATGGCTGAATGTTTCTTTGGATCACAGAAAAGAATTACAACTACAACGTCAATATATAGTCAAATTTGACAAATTTCAGTGAATTTGCAAATAAAATTTGTTGTGATAAATTTAAAATGTTTATTACCTTTTTTGTGCGCGAAATTTATTAAAAACAATAAAATTATGAACTAAACCAATCTGGAACATATTTTAACAATTGGAAAATCTAATGTAAACAAAACGAGTTCATCTGCGATGGGAACAAAATAAGAAGGCACATGTAGCAAGGGTGCTGATAGCAAAAGAGGCGTGGAAAACGTAAGTTTTGTGATAATTTATTACTTACTTTATCTAGATGAAATAAAACTGGTATTCCTTTGACACGTAATAATTATTTAGTTGAAATAAACATCGAAGCTTGATAAGCGATGCATTGCATTCAATTAAGAAAACGTCTATTGATATTTTTTTATTGAAACGTAAGACTTGGAGTGGCAAATGATTTAAAGGTAGGCAATAGGGAATATTATTAATTATTAGAAGTAAACGAGCAGAGAAGAAAATGTTGCCAAGTTTTGACTTAAATTTGTAAATATAAATATGTAATACATACATTTTACTATGTGGTAGGTCGGAAACAAGGAGACGAATTACCTGATGTTAAGCAATTGGCACCACCCATCGACACTCTCAAAACCAAAAGAGTTACGAGTGCGTTGCCAGCCTTTTGGGAATTAAAATTTTGGATTTGGGCCTGCGGTAGTTTCGTTCAAACGGCGAAGCACAACGCTGTGGTTGTTTCTCGTCGGCTTTTTGTAAGGCCGTGTCACTCTGGTCGAGCCAACCCATTCGTGCCAAAGCTTGGCTCTCCGACACACACATGTCATTTATACACAATTACTTACGTAGGCATGCAATGAATATTATAGCAATTAATTGATTTTTTAAACTTTTTCATATTTTAGAGACATCGAAAAATTAAGGCGTATATCTAAGAGTGTTTTGCTTGAAATTCTATACAACATAATTAGCAAATGATGTCTCAACGTCATAAGATTATCAGAATTGAGAAGGTGAGATGAGAAGAACTATTTCTTCAATATTATAATCTCATAATTAAAATAGTTTTCATTAAAATAAGTACCTATGAGTATCTACCTATACTTATTTTAATTACAATACTATACCTAGTATTGTACTGTATAATATATGTAGATGTGTGATCGATAAACAATTTTAATACGTAAAACTTATTTTGAATGCTATATCAATGTGTGTAATTTGTACATATTAAGCATAAATTAATGTGTGTATCGGAGCCCATATTCTGAGCCGCATTGCGCGCCAAACGACGACGTGGTGAACGACGCACAGCCGACTCAAGCCTTAATATATTACGACCAGTTATAACACTCGAGGTTGCGGGGTAGTAAGAGTCTGACAGACCCTCGCATCAGAGCCTGACTTGTTCCAAGGAAGTCATTACCAAGGACTATCATAAACTCACATTAAAATAAAATCATCATTTTGTCTTCTCGGAGGAAGTCGTATGATGATTTTCCACTCACTAAAAAGCATTCGGGATTTTATTGAAGCATTGAAGTTCTTTTTTAGGATGAAAGTCAGACAAGACCTAGACGAGAGAGAGTCAGCAGACAGTGTTTATCAGAGTGTTGTTCCAAGAATATGCCAGTGAAGAAGACTGCGTCGATGAGCAGTCTAATTATTTGGAATATCACGAAAGCATTGGAAATAAACCCTCATATAGATCTTAAGGTTACTAAAATACAGGGTACCCATTTTTTATATAAAATCTAGAACACTTTCGAACTTATTTTCATAGTCAAAGTGTTATGTACAATAGTGAAAGAACCAAGTAACATTGAATTATTTCAAGGGTAGAAAGATAGGGTAAGTAAATCTGAAGTGTATTAACACATGGCTAGTATTTGATATGGAAACTATCTGTAAATGTAGCCGATGGTTTTCTTTAACAATTCTATCTTCCAGTATGCAAGTATTATTGTGGTGTAACTTAATTATTTAAACAATGCAGGGATCGATTAGAGCAGCGAAGCAACATCTGGACAGAGATTCCCGGGACCTGGATACGATTAGCTCGCAGCAACCAGAGCAGCAGCATCTGGTGTGCGCACTACTCGCTTGGCAACAGCTCGGACATAGTAATGCAGACAGTCTCTACAGGTACAACTACTATCAACTCCCTATAAGTTCCCATGAGCTGAGCAACGGCGTCGTACATTAATCACTCTGCCTGCTCGAGGCGGATTACCGATTTAAAACTCATTATAAGGACTAAGTCCAGTCCAGAATTCCTTACGATGTTTTCCTGCATCATTTGTCATTGGTATCTAAATTAATTTACAAATTATTTTGTTTGTTTGAGTAAAATAAATTATGTATCTATACGCATTCGACGAGGTATTGGCCTAAGAACTTGTCTGTACTTGTCGCTAGTTTGCAATATGAGAAAAGAAATTTAATAGGAGATACAGCTATGATGCCTATTTTTGATGGTGGTTTTGTATGAAAAATCGTAATGTTATTGTTTTAGATTTGTAGAACCTACAATAATAGAAATGAGCTGTGCAGAGAAATGTATCAATAAACAGAACCTTGATGACAAACCAGATAGTGGTACATGTGAATCACTGAAGCCGAACAATGATCAAGGTCCTTGCAAAAAAACAGTTGGTATAAAACCTTTGACAGGAGGGAGTTTTGGATCCCACACAGGCGGCCCAGTAGTGAAGTTACCACAGGAGACAAAACTTGTTATGCGAGTCGAAAATCAATGTCCCTATAGACAGGCATCGAGGGATTTACCAAAACGATCAGAAAAAGACACGATGAGTAAAATTGACGCGGTGAGTAATATGCAACCATAGTAACGCTTATAAACTTTAGAGAGAGCGAATAAATAATTTAATAATTTTCTTGATACCAAAAGTATTAGAAAACAACAATAATCTTTAGTTATTGGTTCTCTATTTAAAATTCGCAGCCGTATTTTAAGTGGGGCACACTATTCCTTCTTTTCGAAAGGAAATTAACAATAGTTAAAAATTAAATAAAATTAAAAATAAATTAACAATAGTCAATAGTTTGCCGGACGATGTGGGTCTGTTGCGTCAAACCGTAGTTTATGTCAAATATATTCTATAGAAAAGGATCATGAGCACATTGGACGTTGACCTAACAGTATCATTTGAAAAAAAAGAAAGATAATTTTATCTTAATACTTTATTTTTTTTTTAGTATGATATTGATAACATTTTGCTAATAGTCGGAGAAAAGAGGTACGTCCATAAATATGTAAAAAAAGCTTTGTTACCCGAAGTGAAGGAAACGATTACTCTAGGTAAAATTTTGTAAAATCAAGAATCAGGATCAAAATTAAATAAAAGACAGAGGAAACTCTATATATACTAGCGACCCCCCCGGCTACGCAAGTGTGCTATGCTTACTGATATTAAATTTCTCGTATCAATAATATATATACAATACCGTACGTACATATAAAATACCGCATTAAAATTCGTTCGTAATTCCTAGTTTTAAATATTTAAGCATACGTAGGGATATAGGGACCGAAAAAGCGACTTTATTTTATAAATACCTACTATGTAGTGATTTAATAAAAAGGATATCAAAAATATATCGAATACTAATCAGTGAATGTTTCATATCATAACAATAGCAATTGATTCCGCAGGCTTGTTGTTTGGATAATGAATGCGCGGAACGGCTAGCTGAGTTAGATGCGGCGACAAATGAGCTCCGTGCTCGAGCTGGTCAGCTTGCGCAACGAGAGGCCGAGAGAGTCGAGCTCCTGGAGCGCGCTGAAGCTGCGTGGAGAGACCTTGAATCAGGCTACCAGAAGCGATTACATCTAGCTGAAGAAACAGAGGAGGACATTGCTAGACAAGTTCGAGAATATTTTTACTGTAGCAGTTTCTAATTCTTATATTTACTTATTTGTGACGGACATATTCCTAATAATACGTTCAAATAAAATGGAAATGATGATGAATTTATTGAGTACAGTAAGTCAAGTCAAAATACGAGATTAGATTTCCTAAATTGTTATGAAACATGACATTGTTTCAGATACAAAAATTGATGGATCAAAGGAACGAAAATAAGATCACTGCTACTAATTTAGTGAAGGACTTGAAAGAAAGGAAAGGTATTGTTGAGTCAATGCGAGCTGATTTGTCAAAGGTGGAGAAGGAAATATGCGAAAAAGCTTGCATAAGGTTAAAACTCATTGAGGAGGCAGCAAAAGGCGAAGCTGTCCTAGCCGAGGAGCAATGCAAATCAGCGCAGTACGAGCGAGACCTATTGGTAAAAATTTATAGACCTTCTTAAAGCAAACAAAATATTATAGATGAACTGGTCTTTTTTAGCAAACCAATTCTTTTTCTTGTCTCATCTTCATCTTTGGTTCACTAAATCATACGCATTTTTTGATCTCGTATGTTTTTACTGTGGATTTTATCAATAAGACATTTTTGATATTTTGATGAAATATCTAGTAGCGCGATCCAAAAGACTTACTCATCTTGTAGAATAACTATGTACATATTTTATGTTCTTCTCTCTGACTTAATTAAATGGCATTAAATTTAGTTCAAAGAAGAACAAACTCGTCGCAAGTTACTATCGTTGGAGAGTGAAATTGATTCTGCACGTGCTTTGACCTGTGAAGCGGAGCGAGCTATGCGCGCGGAGCTGAGCGCGCTCCGCGAGCAAATAGAAGAGGTTTCTAAGCAACTACTGCAAGTGGATGTGGCGAATGTACGGATTAAGGAGGAGGTACGCATTTCAAAATTTTACAACTTTTTGTACGTAACTAGGTAGATGCCTCAATCGATGTAAGTTTCCCAAGATAGAGCTATCGGTTACCTATTATGTGCTCCCATAAACTGGTGTTACTGTTCGATGCTACTTTGTGATTGTCTTTGTCCTTATGTGTTACTACGAACAAATCCTTTCTAAGGTTTCTTGTATTAGTAACAATATATGGACCTTAGTCAATTTTATTGTTAGATATATTATATAGGAAATTTAATTTCTCATTATTGTTTAAAAGTTGGTTTGCATAAATTCAGACTTCTGCTAATGGTTTCGTTAAATTTCATGATACATTAAACCAGGTTATTTTCCATGGCAATAAAAATATTATATTTCCATATAATCCCATGTTTTTTGTAAAGTTTATGGTACTCTTTTCAACGCCATCGATGTTCCTCGCTGCGCCTGTTCGAAATCTAATAACAATTCACCAGTATGGAGTCGCGTATCATTACTCTGTATCTTTATTTTTGTTCTTACATTTTCCATCACCTTGTTATTACCTATAAAAATGAATTCATTATATATAAATGAAGTCCATGTGAGAAAGAAAGGTATTACTTATGTGTTTGTATGTACTTCTGTAAAGAATACAGGTTATTGTTTCACTTGAAAATAACCTTAATTTAATTTTTTTTTGTTATTTTGTTGTTGTTACTTTCGAAAGTTTTACTATCAACAATATATGTTTTATGTGTGTGTGTGTGTGTGTGGTGCCTGATAAGAAAAGCATAGCAACTGTACTATTAGTTGTGCCGTGCGCATGATTAGAGGTATGAGGTATCTGTAAGTACGTATTTATAAATGCCTTGTAGGAACGACGTTTCGTCGTTCAATTGGTTTTTAATTGTTTTGGGATATATATAAACAGATATCCACTTTGTAGATATAATGTCGATTTTCTTTGTGAATGGCACCGTAATATTTAAAATACCAACAAGATATAATCTATCCCACGAGATGGTGAACCCTAACGCCCCATTTTTTTAAGTACCTATCTTGAGACATACAAAATTGATTAAAAAAAAGATGAGTTTTGTGAATTAATTCAGAAAAGCTCTACTAGTTTCTACTAACAGCGTGACTCTTCTTAATGCTCATGTATCTTATAAACACTCACTTTAAGTTCCTTCATTTTATTTGGTGATGTGGTTTTTTTAACGTCATGGATACACAACGGTCTTCTGTTAAGCCAACCAACTAGGAACAGCCTTCGGACAGCTGCTAATTCAACAATTACAATCAACCGAAAAGTAATACATTAAATTTTAAGAAGGACATTGCAGATTACATTTTTGTGATAGTTTATAAACAATTCGAGATAAATTAGTACCTCATGGTATTTCAACCGGAGTTTTTTTTTTGGGGTCAGCGCAATAAGTTGCTTCATCCTCGGCTTGGAGCAGGAAGAGGACCGGGGTGGTATTTAGTCAGTAAGAGTCTGCCATTGCCTCTCGCTCCACCCTAGGCAAGAGAAGTCATTTCATGATTTTCCTCCTTAAAAAGTTTTTTACAATTTAACGGTGACATATTCCATAGCAAAGGATTTTTGTTTTTGTATTTATGTAAGCATGTAAGTATATGTTACAGTTTCTGTACTCGTTTTTTAATCGAGATAACGTTACCTACGGCTTCTATTGTCTTTTTAAACTCTAGATTACATAAAGCTATGCATCCTTTTTTACATAATATATTAGTCTAGGTTTAAACCATTGCACCAGGTTTTGAGTTTTATTCTCACCTACCTTCAATTCGACATAGAAAAACTGGCTTAGACAAAATGGTTTAGACCTCGAATAAGTAAAACCTTGTTTTGTAATAAAGACGATAGATTTTATTATTATTACGTTTTAAAGTTTGGTGCCATAAGGTATCATTTTCGAACCTGTAATTTGCTTTCACTTTGTGAAAGAATTCCTTGGGTAATGAATATGTTACACCCAAGGACCCCAGAGAAATATGTTGTGTATTTCGTAACTGTAAACAGTTCACAGACTAGTCATCCATTCGAATATCAAAACTAATTAGTGATTAATAACCTTGTGGTGCTATTTAGATTAGATAAAATTATTGACATTGTAAGGATGATTTTACGTTTTTTGTACATGTATTTTTATACTACCTATGACACAATTTTTATCGGCGGTATAAAGGTATTTAAATTATAATACATGAATTTAAGGGATGGAACTCTGTAGGTATATGGGAATAAAATGCACGATAGAAATTGATGATAGGATTGTATTAATTTTACAGAATCAGCAACTACGTCAGGAGAAGATGGAAATGGTGGATGATTTAGAAGGATGCAAGGTTGTCTGTGAGGCTAAGATGCAGGGTCGCCTGGATGAGTTGGCGAAGAAGAAGGAGATGCTGAATGAAGTGAAGGAGAAGGTATTGGAATGCCGATGTAAGCTGCCGGTCGATAAAACCGTGGAAGTGAAGCGCACGCCCTCACTAGCCGCCATATGCCGATGCGCTCCTGAAGATAAGCTGCTGGTAAATATTGTTCTTTATCAAAATCTCATTAGGTCATCCGTATACTATTCTTACAAAATGAAACTCTACATTGTGTAATTTAATTACGTTGTCAAAATAAATTTCAGAACAGTATTATTCATTAAAGATAATTTCGTCATTACAAATGACCTGATAATCTTTTATATCTTACTGTCCCTTTATGAAAAGATGTCATCATCATCATCATTATCAGCCTATAAGTGCCCACTGCTGAGCAAAGGCCTCTTCTCATACGGCGATGGTTAGAGCATTAATCACCACGCTTGCTCAATGCGGGTTGGCGATTTCAAACTTATAATTAGAAATAATACGTCTAGGTTCCCTCACGATGTTTACTTTCACCGTATGTCAGTCGTGTCTAAATAATCACAGAAAGTACATACAATTCGGAAAAAGTCTCATTGGTACTTGCCACGTTTCGAAACCACACCCTCATCTATGAGAAGCGGGCATTGAAAGATGTATTTTCAATTATATATTACTTCTTTCGATTATCATAACATTTTTCCTTTTTGCGGCAAATAGGGCAGAATCATCGTGATCTTTGTTTTTTTTTAATGAACGATGACTAATTCTTAGTCGAATTGATTAAATAAAAAACAATTAGATAGTTTAGCAACTTAGACTTAGAGTTTAGTTTCCTACCTTAAAATGAAAAAATGTCCTGGCGGAGTTAATGCCTTTATTTGACAGTTTGTAATAGTTGACCATAAGTCAAGGCTGAGATAACAGTGGCAGAGCCTCCACTTAATAATTAACAAAAAGAAATACCGTAGTCGTAAATCAATCTATATATAGGTATATAAAAATCAATGCCACTTTTCGTTGTAATGTTATAACTTAACAATGCCTTTATCGATATGGCTAATTTTAAAAAAATTAGAAAAAATCTTGCAAAAGTCTAAAATTTTCATAGTTTCGAATGGAAATAGTTTCGAATCGACCGCTTGGTTTCCTTTGCAGGAATCGTGTTCGTGTACGTCGTTGCGGAGCAGGTTGTTGTCCAATTTGTTGGCCGACCTGTTCGGGGGATTGCAGACCGAGCTGGGCGGCTCAGGCTCCCAAATGCCATGTCAACTGCTCAAGTGTCTTGATGACAAACACAACTGGGATCGTGCCAGCGCAATCAAGACAAATTTAAGAAACTTCTTTTCGAAATTGTTAATGGGTGAACTTAACATTGCTATTGCCTCATCCATCGAAAATTATCACGCAAAGGTAATATACGTCAGCATAATGATGACCTCAATAATTGTTCCTGGCATTTGTTAAACATTTCACAATTTTATTTTTATGATTATAGTGGGCGGGTGCATCGTGTGCCGACATTGCAAAGCCGATTCCAGGTTCTGACGACGACGTAAGAGAGGGATGGGAGCAGAGGGCACTAGAGAAACGTGCACAGAAGATGGCTTCGCAACTTGCTGAACAATTATTCCAAGAACGAGCAGAACAACTTGCTCAGCGAGCCAAAGAAATTGTTACTTCAGGGCCACCACCGTGTGAATGTAAACCACATATTAAAAAAGAAGGTTAATACACCATTTTGCTTATAAAAACAATCTTTTGGACGACCTCAGGATAGATTAACAAAATACGATAGAATTCGATGTAATCATACCAATACAGACGATATTAATTGGACGAATTACTTATCAATATGACTCATTTACTAATTTAGGGAAAACATTTCTAGCTGCAGCTTTCCCGTGCTTGATGCCTCCGAATTCGCTATTCAGTCCTGGCATGTTTGTTGTCAACCGACAGACTGGTGATACAACACCTGTCTTCTGGAAGCGCACCATCCAGGATGTTACGCAACTCAAACTTCAAATAGAAGACCTTAAGAAGGTCGGCAGCCGCCATTAACTTATCTTTATAGAAAACATAATAAAACACATTTTATTAATGCCACCCATGATTTCATAATTATAGTAATCCCATAAGATTGAAGGGACATAAATAAATCCGCTCATTTTGGGTGAGTTGAGGATTCCAAAAAAATTTATGATCTGAAGTCATTTTGATCAATTACCAATTCTCGTTCAAACTCCCGTAGATAATAATACTAAATGCATATGCATTTATAAGCCTAGGTTTCAGTATTCCCTCGGTTCGTGTGCTTTCATCCTTCACGACATAATATTAATTAACTAACGTGTTCCGTGTGATTTCGAGCAAACGTTTGTGTCTGTTATGATAACTTTGTGGCACGTTGATAAATAACTTCAATCCAATTAATTCATTAAACTTTATTATTCACAAATTATTGTGATAATTGAACATCATTTTTTCCATTTAGGAAATATTCATTTGATCAGACATTTTTAATCATTATTTCATAAATCAAAGAACAAGTCACTCACGACAATTTTTTGAAGTAACTAATTAGTTCTTTTTAAAAATAGCCTTCGGTTCGTTCCGTAATTACATTTGTTAATTTTTAGGGGCGAGCATCTTAACAAATGTTATTTATGTGTTTAACTTTGCAGGACGCCATAAAGAAGGAAGATTTGAAACAAATGGAAGAGAAAATTTTCAAAATAGTAAAGGAAGCTTCGGTATGATAAATAATTTGTAGCGCATTTTAATCTACGAATTATGAACCATATTCATGTAACACAATATTTTTCCTTTAAGGTCATAGAAAATGAAGACTCCTCAGTTATTTCCACTTTACCAGAAGATAGTTTCAAAAAGGAGCCTAGAATTGTAAAAAATGGCCATACCAGAGATGATTCTCCTAAGAGCATAAATGCAAACAAAATAAAAAAGAAGAATTATGATACTAATAATGTTAAAAAATCACCAATTTATGAAAAACCTACCAAACAAAGCAAAAAGCAACCTCATGGCCAATCTTATGCAGTTAATTTATGTTTATGTGGAGTGCAAAAAAATAGTAAACAATTACAGAACTCGTATGTAAATAATGATGGAAAATCTCAGTCATGGAAACAACCTCAGAGTTCTGTTACTAAACAGATAAAACCGATTAACATAAACCTTCCTACGCCTGAGCTGAATGAAAATTCTAGAGACACTTCTGGATTCTGTGATAAAAAGTGCAAATGTTTCCACAATATACCATCCACCACCTCAATAGATAAACTTTTAGATACATTAGCTAAATGGAAGTACAAGTTGGTAGAAACTCAAGACATGAAAAATTTTAAAAGCAGTTTAAGTAAATATTCTAAGTCAGCCATTAAGGATTCGTTGCGTGACAGTAAACATGATGACTCAAAAAATAATTTATCTGTCTCAAAAGCATGTAACAAAGATAAAGCGACTGAAATTAATATTCATAAAGAACCTCATGTGAAAACTCCCAAAAAACTACATCAAACACACTTCAGAGAATCCATTCTGAACTCTGAGTCGGAATATATGGGAACTGTTAATTTAGATAAAAGTAACGAAAATTGTAAATGTATACATAATATTGGACGTGTATTGGATGATAATAAAGAAAAAGTTAAAACAACTGCAAACAGTGCTGGATTTAAATTTATAAATACAACAGCCTGTGAATGTAAAATATATCAAGAAATGCAAAAAGATCATAAAAGATCTCAGACAGATGAAGTATTCAAAGAACAATTACAAACAAATCAGCGCCAACTGGTTCAAACAAAAGATATCCCAGAATTAATTAAAAATAATGCTTCAAAAACTTGCACTCGAGTTAATAGTTCAAACGACATGAAACAAAAGTCAAACATGAACTATCTTCCAACAAAGACAGAATTATTCCCAAATAATTGTGACTATTGCATAAAATTTTTGGGTGTAACCTTGGATGACTTAACTGATAAAAAAATTAATAATATAATTAAAGATAATCCCGATGGTAAACTTAGTCCCAAGAATAAATTTTTAGAACAACGACAAAAGCTATCAAAAAATTCTTCAAGTTTTGAACCAAATCTAAGGGGGGATTGTGAAGTACATGATCAAACTGGGTGCAATGATGATGCTAAGAGTAATTTTCAATCAAATTATAAAAAGTTTGAAGAATTTAAAGGTTTACTAGCTGACTTTCTCAATCATAAGGCGCCCGAGGCTCGATATAAAGATGAAGCACTTGATTCACAAAGTTTTAAATCTATAGCGAAGAATATGGAATCTTGTGTATGCTGCAATAATATTTACAATATAGATGATTCTAAAGATTTAGAAGTAAATGCTTTCCATTTATTAGAGGACCACCTGAAAGGAAAATTAGAAGAATTTAAATCATTTACTTGTAAATCTTCGTGCATACCGCCAGAAGAAGAACAAAAACTATTTTCGGCAATTTTGCAGAGAGTAAAGCAAGTAATTTCAGATTGTGCTAATGAAATGAAATGCGCTTGTCCAGCAGACATTTCAAATAATGGTAGCTGGAATAGAGCTTATGGGCTTTTACAAGAATATTTGAAAATCAAAATAAAACGCGTTCAGTGCCTCTGTGTTTTAGATGACAATAAAGGAGTTATGTTACCAGATATTTTAGAAAAAGTTTGCAACTTGATAGAAAATGATTTCCAACGTTTGAAAGATATTTGTAAATGTAAAAATAATACTGACATACATAAAAAAACTGTTCGCATTCAGGATATTCTTGTATCACCTAAAGAATTTCCAGAAAAAGATACTAATATTGATCAAATAATGCATGATAAAGAAATTCAAAACTACTGCGTGGTACCAAAATTATCAAAACAGAATTCGAATAAGTCTATGATTCCTACAGAAAATACATCTTTCCAAGTGCTTCCTTATTTCGGAATGGAAACCAAATCGTGTGACGTCATGGGAATAGAAGGGAAAAACGCACAAACTACAGAAACGGACTATATTATTACGGATACAAAATCTAATGGAGTTATGTTTAATAAATGTGACTGCTGCTATAATACAGATCATGTAGATTTTCTCAAATATCCCGAGAGATTTGAAACTAAAGAAGTATTTGCCAATTTTTATACGGATGAAATGATTGAAACGAATGATATATTAGAAGGTGGTGCAGGTCAGGAACTATCAAAATCGCTTGGCACAAGTAGAATAAATATGACAAAACCAATACCATATATAGAATGTACAGAAACGAATGAAAATGAGAATAAAAATACGGAAACAGAGGAAAACGAACAAATTCCTCGTCCTCCTTATATTGGATATACAGTGAATTGTTGTTGTGATGACTCCCTTGGATCGTGTGTCTGTATGAAGTCAGTAGTAAATGCAAATCATGACAAAATTAATTGTCTATGGAAAGGTTTTCTGGATAATAAGACCAATGACCAAAACTATTCCTACATTATGAATGGTATCCGAAATAAATGTAGTAATGCTGTTGTAAATTTTCCACAAATCAATGAGACTGATACAACTAAACAACCGGATCCATCACAACAAAATTATGAAACACTAACACGTGACACTGAAGTAAATGCAAAAGCTGAGCATAGTATTATTTTGAAATATTCTAACAAAAATCTTGACTCTGTTAACGCTACAGCTAATACATTTGAAGAAAACATGAGCTTAGGAACTGTCTACTCTTTTAATGAAAATGTACTAGAATGGTATGAATATCCCGGACACATGACGCCCGATAGATCAAATGCTGCTAAGCTCGCGAGTTCTATTTACTTCCCAGGACATCCCATTGACAGTTATAATGCTCCCTTAAATGCAAACGATTCTCTGGAACCTCCTGATACTTGTGATTGTGATAAGGTTCCCATTTGCCATGTCAAAATGTTGGTGGAGAACATAGAGAAAAATCTTATAGAATCCAAATGCACGTGTGATTCATTGATATCAAAAGCATGCCCAGTCCATTCCAAAAATGTTATTATGCCTTAATAATACAAAAATTGTGCATTAATAAGAATAATCGAGTTAAAACTTATTGTTTTTGTTCCAAGAAACTATTTGAACCGTTAAATAAATTTGACAATAGTAACATTCCTGTTATTGTTTTAATTTCTATTTTCTTCATCTTTCTATTATTTGTTCATGAAAGCATCAGCATCAGTATCAGTATCCTACTTCCTATTAATATTATAAATGCGTAAATTACGGTGTTTGGATGTTTGTTACTCAATCACGCCAAAATGGCAGGACGGATCTGGATGGAATTTGGCAGGGGCACACATACCACGCGGACGAAGTCGCGGGCGGAAGCTAGTAAGAAATTAATGACAATGTGAGAGCTACACTGGAATGGAACTTCTTCTTTCTTGGAACGGAGTGGTTTTCAATCAGCGAGGGTTTGAAAACCACCCTGTCGCCCCACCCAAAGCGGGAATAAACATCTTACCCTAATCATATTCAAAATCAGTCCTATTAACTAGAGAGCGCATTTTTTTTATGTGATAGTACGGTATACGAGTTGACCGATTAGTATACCTGATTGTAATCAATCAGTGCCACCCATGGACACAAACAATAACAGAGAAGTGACCTGTGCATTGCCGACCTTTTGGGGATTAGGGTTCTGGAGATTTAGGTATCGGGGAAGCGGAAGGATTGTGCTTCAGATACCTTAACTCTCACGGCGAAACACTATGCTGCTGTTATTTCACGCTGGTTTTCTGCGAGGCCGTGGTATCACTTCGGTTGAATCAACCCATTCGCACCGAAACATGGCTCTCCCACATTTTAATAATTGATATCCCTTCTTGGGAAAGTAATTATTATGTTTTGTAACGAAGGTATTATTCATTTGGCACGTCTGCGTCACGGTTATCTAAAGATAACAAGTTTATTGATATCAAGTATGTTTTATTAAAACTCTATTTCGCTTTGTCACGATTTCAGTGCACTAATTCATGACCTTGGTATACGTCCAGTTTATACTTAATTTATCATAGGCTGATGAACTTAGGATTTTACTTGCATCATAAACGTTTTAATATTAATTATAATTCATTTTCAGTCTCTGTTTGATTGTTAATGATTTCAATGTTTGGCTTGGACTAAAAATGTGTGGTAGCCAATAGAGTTCTAAAGTACAATGTTATTGTTTTGATATAATTCTGCTTAGCAGTAATTAAACTTAGGAAAATTATTTTTCTTGTATAAAATAAATTAGTAAAACGATAACATTTGAACATGTACATATTCCTATTATAACTGTCGTGAGACATACTAAATTACATGTTATTGCTTAACGCAGTACTTTTCAGTAGCAGCGCGACAGTTACCGCGTCGCGTGTCGCAGAATATGAGCCTCTAGCATGGCTTGAAACTACTCGAGTATCTCGTCAAACAATTTCGTGAGTAAGCCGAAAACATAATAATGTGAAAATTACCTATTATGATGAATTGCTTGAGTCAGCCAAAACGTTGCTCGTTTTTATTCAGATAGATAATATAAATAATTAATTATTACGTTAAAATCTTTAATCATAATCGAATTGTCTTGAAACTATCAATTTTGTATTGATTGGAAATTCCGAACATATAATTTGGAATTAGTCATTAATCCTCTTGCTAGACTTTTGTTGCTTTCTACTGCACGGTTGGCCCGGTGGATTGGTAACTGGCTATCGCGCAGCATGTCGTGGGTTCGATTCCCGCACAGAACAGCTATTTGTGTGATCCACAAATTGTTGTTTCGGGTCTGAGTGTGATGTGATAATGTATACTTGCAAATGCATGTTTAAAAAAAAATTGAAAAAGAAAACATCTTAGTTCCAATCAGGCTTTAATTATAATATTTATTTGTTTATTTTATATATTTATACACAAAATAAATGTACAAAGGTGGGCTGTTAGAGAATGCCTAGAAGACTGCTCAGAACACAGAACTATAAGCTAATCAGGCTTGGGAATGAGCCGCTGTAACGTCTGCACAGGTCATGTTGACATGATTGTAAGTTATGTATTAGTTTGTAATAAGTTGCACTGTTATATACAATTTGACATAACGGTTTTTTTATACAGTTACATAATAACCTAGTGTGACATTTGACAGTTTTTATTTTACTTTTTTCATTATTTATTGACATTTTTATTATTTTCTATAATTGTTATTGTAAGGACCGTGTGAGACTTGCCAAGCTTTTTAACCGACTTCCAAAAAGGAGGATGGTTCTCAATTCGACCGTATATATGTTTGAAGCTGAAAGCAGATGGTCCCATGATAAGGAAATCGGGAGCTGATGATGGAAGACCAGAAAAATTGAGGGGAACTTTCAAAAATTGTAGGGGCGAGTGGTGCTTTTGCATATGGTTTTAGTAGGCTTTTGACAACGCTACAACTTGTCAATGTTCGAACTCGACCTGATGATGGAGCCGGAAGGGAGTCGAGGGATCTCCTTGACTATTTGGAGTAGTTGCCTTGTGTTTGGGCTTGAATGATTCGTATTGAGCACTTTGCACCAAGACTGGTAGTGACTGTCATTAGGGGTCTGATGATGAGATCGAAGGACAGCTCAGGAAACTCCTGAACGGTTTACGGTGTGTGGTGTAGGGTAGGTGTTTGGACTTAATTCATTTATATCGATGAAAACTTGGCACCTATATGGGTTACAATGAAGTTATGCAGTAAATGTGACGATCGAGAACCATTCCAGAGAATCGGCAGAGACTGTAAGATGGGATAGGATGGCCAAAAGGAATTCGTGACTGACTATATTGAACGCTTTCGAGAAATCAACTAGCACCAGGACTGTGGCACTAGTATTCTCGAGGCCAGCTCTAATATCGCCAGTCACTTTAAGTAGGGCGGAAATAGTACTGTAGCCTGGTCTGAAACCGGATTGAAGAGGGCTGATAAGCGAGTTCCGGTATATGAAATCAGAAAGTTGTTTATGGACACAGGACATATTGGACGAAATTGACAGGGAAGAGTAGGACTGGAGGCCTTTGGGGGCGGGCGAACAAAAGTTCTTCGCCAAGGGGGGGGGGGAGGAGCTGGAAAAAAGGGAAAAATTAATGATGTGGGTTATAGCTGGTAAGTATCGGTGGAAGGAGGTGATCAAGAATAGTCACAATCATGTTTCGAGAAATGTTGTCACAACCTCCCGCTTTGAATTTGATGAAATGGATAACCTTACCAACCTCTGCCGAATCAACCGGAGCTAAGTGGAAGGTTAAAGCAATACCAGGACGCGTCAGACCAGTGATAAATATTATCATGTTCTGTTTCACTAGACGGTTCATGATTGGTACTGTAGCGAAATGCTTGTTAAAATCGTCCAAAGACATCGCACTGGGAAGATCTGAATATTGCGTTTTGCCGATGCCTAGAGTTCTGAGGAATTTCCAGATATCGGCTGAAGAGGAGGAAAAATCTTTTCGAGAGTGGCGGCATTTAGCATTACGCACCATCTGGTTACACATATTTCTCGCAAGTTTAAAGGCCGGCCAGTTTTCGTCAGTGCGATCCCTCCTATGTTTGCGAAACGCCCGGTCTCTGTGGCGTACAGCCATCCTTAATCCCAGGAGTCATCCATGGCGCGGGTGGCCGTTTCACCTTTAGTTTTCTGACAGGAGCGTGCCGGTCATAAAGTGGTAGAGGGTAGTTGTGTTTTGAGCTAAGTTTCCGATATCAGGATAGCATGTACGTCGCTTTTGCTAAACACATCGAAAAGTTCACTGTGATGGCTGGGAATGCTTTGCGCGTTCAGATGGCACATATTCAATAACCTATTGCGGTTATTTTGAAATTGGTTACTGATTAAATCACTAAGAGTGTCGCCAAAAGAGCAGAAGCTACCATTATCAGAGAATTCATTCGCTGATTTAAAAGAATCATCATCAGACATTCTATATAAAACGAATAAAAATATAAACATCAATATAAATAAAATAAAATATATTTAATAAATATATTACAATATAAAGTTAAAATATTCGTTGATAATATAATACGTATAATGCGTTCGCTAAACAGTAACACTATTGGTTAACACTCTGCACCACCCGCTAGCTAACAACAAAAAAAAAGAAATCGAGAAAAAAATATTAATATGAAATCGAACATTAACGGAATGAAAAACAAAAACAGGAATCGGAAACAACTGAAATGATTAAAAGACATAGGTAATAAATAAAATTAAGTGAAATTAAATAAAATGACCCCTGAACGTATCCAAACATGAGGTACAAAGAAATGACAGTCGACATCAAATTGACATAGTAACAATGACGTGTCCACGCATTGTATAGATAGATGACAACTAGTAAACAGTGGTTAATATGAAATATGGTAGTCGTGTAATAAAAGTTAAAATTGCGATTAATTATAGTGGGAGGTAATATGGAAAATAGTGATTTGATGGGATGCGACCACCGACTTAAATTAGTATAGTTTCCAATATGATATGAAAGTACAGACGTCAGCCGGGGTTGCGGGGTAAGCGCAATGAGGCACCGCGACCTCGGCCCAGAGCAGGAGAAGGAACAGGGGGGTTTTGTCAGTCAGTATTTATATAACTTAACATATATAATAATAATATATAAATTTGCGTCCATCGCATTTATTATCAATTTTATTATTATTGTAATTTATTATAATTTTGTTATTATATTTGAAATCTATATAAATCAATCATCATCATCATCATCATCATCATCATCATCATCATCATCATCATGATTTCAAATATAATAATAAAATAATAATATATTGTAATTTATAATATATTATAATATATTGTAATTTATTATTATTTTATTATTATATTTGAAATCTATATAAATCAATCATCATCATCATCATCATCACCATCATCATCATCATCATCATCATCATCATCATCATCATCATCATCATCATCATCATCATCATCATCATAATCATCATCATCATCATCATCATCATCATCATCATCATCATCATCATCACCATCATCATCATCATCATCATCATCATCATCATGGGAGAAGACTGCAATTTTGCCTCAGAATTACGCAACCTACATCACGGAGCGTGTTGACTTCCTGAAACAGAAGGTATATGCATGAGCAAACCGCATTCGCCGATATAAAAGACGAGTAGAGCGGTATACCCACAATCGCGCATTCCAAAGGGATCAAAGGTTGTATAGAAATTGGGAGCAAAAAGAACAGGATAACACTGATACGTGCCTACCAGATTTTAGCGCCAAGAAGGCATTCTGGCGCAGCGTTTCACGTGTTCATCACACCGAGGGTGATTGGATTGAGGAAATCATGGATATACTGATACCACAAATGAACTTAATTAAGATCAGCACCGAAGACGTATCAAATGCAGCCTTCCCGTTGGCTAACTGGAAAGCTCCAGGCCCGGACGGGCTGCATAACTTTTTGATTATAGGGTTTATGAATTCGCATAGTCCCTGGGCGACTCAATTCCAATCAGCATTGGAGTCTGGGTCTTTGCCCCAATTCTTTGCAACAGGACTCGCCCACCTGCTCCATAAATCTGGTTGTACTACGGAACCTAAAATTAAAGACCGATTACGTGTCTGTCGACGATTTATAAACTTCTTACATCCATTTTGAGAGTAAAACTTAATAAGCATATTACTTATTACATCATGTCTACCTCTCAAAATGGATGTAGGAAGGGGTCCCGTGGTACCAAGGAGCTTCTCCTCATTGACATATCCATTTGCCAGCAGGTTCGTAGGTTTCACAAGAATTTGTCCACATGCTAGGTAGATTATTAGAAGGCATATGACTCCGTTCCACATACGTGGCTCATGAGAGTGTTGAAGTTGTATAAAGTTGACCCAACTCTGCGCACCTTCTTGAGGTCATGTATGAGACAGTGGAAAACAATCCTTCGCTATCCACGATGCGGACAGATCTGTGAGAGTGACAAACCCATTAGGATAGAGCGTGGTATATTCCAGGGTGACAGTTTGAGTCCTTTATGGTTCAGCTTAGCCCTGAATCCTCTAAGCACTTTGCTGGAAGGCTCAGGGTTAGGATATCGGTTAAGAAGAGGGGGACAAATTG